AAGTCCCTCTTTTGGACATGAACTTGGATTGGATTCAAACTGCTGGGTTTATAAAGCTAATTTCTTAACAAAATGAAAATAATAATAGTGATGATGATGATGATGATATGATATAATATGCAAACTTGGAGGTCATTGTCAGACCTCATAGAGTTTAGATGAATGCTTTGGTTTATAGTAAAATAAAACATTTACCAAGCATGGAATACAGACACTTCTAAACTTATAATAATATCGTGTCCAGAAAATTTCATCATAAACTGAAAATATCATACGTGGAAGATACATTTAATTTACTTACCCTACAGAACATCATAGCCTAGCAACACAGTACACTGTAGGGTATTAGTTGTTTATCCCTGTGATTATATAGCTATCTAGAAGAGGATATTCTTTTGCATATTGCTAGCCCAGAAAAGATTAAACTTTAGAATACAAGGTACAGTTTATACTTAATGTGTATGACTTATGCACCACTGCAAAGTTGAAAATCTCTAACTGTGACTATCATAAGTCAGAGATAGTCCATATAACTTTACCATTATGTAGAATAGCACAGACCTCTAATTAAAGGTAGAGGTTTGTATTTTGGCAAATTACCAATGTTTATAAGTTTCAGATGTCTGTAGGAAGGAGTGATGACAGATTTTTCTGTGGAATAACACCTGGTTTGGTCCATCTAGAGACAATCTGGGTTTCCAGGTGTGGCAACCAAACAGGAAAGTGTTTCAGCAGAGTGACAGCATATAGCAGGTGCCTGGGGAGCAGAGTCAAAGCACAGCTGTTTGGCTCAGAGAGCAGGAGATAGGAAGAGCGCTTCGCCTGCCACAGAAATCAGCTGGCATATCTGCTATTCTTGCAAATTGGTCTATTATCAAATACGTAATTCAGGGACTAAAATTAAAGCCTAAAAGAAGTCACAATTTTTGGAATAGTGCTTAAACATTCCAGTCATAGCAGCTCTTTTCTTCCACACAGCCAGCCATCTTCTGAGGCTGAAAAGGAATTTCCTCTAAACAGAAAAGTCTGAAGAGAGTTCTTCAAAGATCCTTGAGGGTGATTCTTCTGATAGCTGGAAAGGAAAGTTCAAGAGCCTCAGAGACTACATGTAGAGAAAAATACTTAGAGTGTCAAGGTGAGAGGAGGTTATCTTAGACAATGCATAAAAATGCAGTAACAAGGTGGAAATTCTACTCAAAGATAAAAGAGCAAGAGCTCTATTAAAGATACAACCTTGTAAAACAAGGACTCAGTGTATAGGTATGTATGGACATAATGCATGATATGTGTGTGCCTTTATATATTAATACAAGATGATTGTCAAAAAATATTTGACAATGGCTGTGGCAGTACAGGATTACCAATAGTCCCAGTAAGTCTGCAACTGAGGGATTTCCTGAGATGAAGAACTGAGCATTAAAACTAAACAGTCCTATATTTGTTTGCTGCTTTTACTTCCTTGTCTGAGAAATGTTCATTTCAGATGCCCATTTTTGAATTGGGTCTTTGAATTTGGGGGGTCTGTTTTTTTCAATTCTTTATATATTCTAGATAGTAGTCCTTTGTCTGAGGTACAGCTTCTAAAAAGTTTTTCCCATATTGTAGGTTGTCTGTTAGTTCTGTTGGTGGTTTCTTTTGCAGTGCAGAAGCTTTTTAATAAGATGAGATCCCAGTTGTTGATTCTTTCTGCTAGTTCCCGTGCTGCTGAGGTTTTGTTCATGAAGTCTTTTTCTATGCCAGTGTCTTCAAGAGTTCTACCATCACTCGTCATTCGAGAGATACAGATGAAAACAACACTGAGATTCCACCTCACCTCACAAAGAATGGCTGCTATCAAGAAATCAACAAATAACAAATTCTGGAGAGGTTGTGGGGAGAAAGGAACCCTTCTCCATTGCTGGTGGTAGTGCAGACTGGTGCAACCACTGTGGAAGTCAATATGGAGATACCTCAAAGAACTAGGACTAGAGGTCCCATTTGACCCAGCTATTCCCCTGCTGGGGATCTTCCCCAAAGAATTAAAAGAATCATATCACAGTGATATATGTGCACCCATGTTCATAGCGGCACAGTTTGTAATAGCTAAAGCTTGGAAGCAGCCCAAGTGCCCATCAACTGGAAACTGGATAAAGAAAATGTGGTTTTTTTATAAAATGGAGTACTACTCAGCCATAAAAAACGAAAAACTAGAGACATTTATAGCTAAATGGATGCACATTAAGGCCACACTCTTAAGTGAAATAAATAGGATTCACATGTGTAAATACCGAATAGTTTCACTAGTGTGAGAAACTGATAGTGTAAACAAGGGTTTAAATGATTAAAATGAATAATGGATAATTTGAAATAGGAAAAAAAGTCCAAAGACGAAGGAGTGAAGGGAGGGGAAGGGGAAAGGAAAAGAGGGAAAGGAAAAACTATGAGAAAAGACAAAAAAGTGGAAATGAAATCTATGTAAATAGGGAAGGGTGGAGGGGGTGAAGGGTGCACAGGTAATGAGGGAAAAAAAATAAGAACCAAGATACATCATGTACAGATACAAACACCCAATGATAAATGTAAGTGAATTGTATACCTAAAATGTACCAAAATGTTAAAGAACAACACCAAAAAAACCTAAACAGTCCTGTCAGGCTTGGAAGGTTGGCTAAGGGTACCTACATACCAACCAGAATTGATGCCATCTGTCACAATCAATGCAACTTTCCTGGTGCCATACCCATTCCTCATCCTTGCTGTCTGAGGATATTTGTACCAGATAAGTCCTAAAAACCATACAATCCCATGTTTAATTTCCCAAATTGTGCATGCTTTCTCCTGTGTCTGTGCCTTTGCACATCTTGCTCCCTCCAGCTGGAAAATCCCTTCCCAGTCTGGCCAACACATCATTTCTTGCAAGAAAACTTCATGCCCTTTCAAAAATAAAAGACACCTCTCTGAAGTTCTTCCCTAGGACTCCATATTTGCTCCCATATTCAGGATTTAAGGAGGCAGGAAGCTGAGGTAAAAAGACAATTCCAAAGAAGCATGACTGCTAATCCCGACATACTTGTGAATGAAGATGAATGAATAAGAATACCTAAATTCTGGATCAAAGTAATTTAGTCACAGTTGGTGACATTCTACAGGGAGCCACTAAAGCTACTATGGCCTTTTATTTATGCTGCCAGGCTCCCAGGCAGAGGAGAAAGGAATCTCAATCAGTTGATTTTAGGCACAATAATGAAGACCCACTGTTTTTCAGGTATAAGCCAGAGCCCTGCTAATAAGAGACAGTTTTCTTTGGGTTAAGTCTGTGTTGTCACTAAGAAAATAGTTACTGTATGCCCTCAAGGGCTGTAATTAATTAATAAGGTGCCCATAGCCCTGCAGGTGGGAAGACCAAAGCAGAACTTCAGGACACTGTATTCCCCATTCCCCTTAGGTCCACCAGATGGGGAAGAGATCTGCTGGAGATGGTGGGATGCAAGAAAGAGCCAAATATCTAAACATTACCTTCCTGTGGAAAAGAGTAGAGTTTTTCCAGGAGCCAGATCAAACATGGGTGTGAACTGAGGTAGAACCAGTTTAGGAATGGGGAAATACCCAGAGACTGTATCAGTTAAGAACCCAGCAGGAAACAAATGGCATACTCACAACAAGAATATTCAGAAAGAGTCAAATGAGGGGCTTATTTACAAAAGTCTAAACAGGATGTAGAAGCCACATGAGATTATTACTAATCCTTGTACTGGTCTAGCAAGTGTAACTACCCCAGGTCCAAGTGGACAGGGTGGTTGTTTTGTTTTTTGTTTTTTGTTTTTTTGGTACTGGGGATAGAACTCTGGTCCTTACCTTGAGAGGCAGGTGGTGGAACCACTGAGCTAAATCCCCAGCCCTGGACAGGGTGGTTTTACTACAGCCCAGGTAGAGCTACATGGGAAGAGCCAGATCTTGTGGTCATTTTCTTCAGAAGTACAAAGAAAATTCAAGCTACTTAGAACTTGAATCATCATAGTATTTTAAACCATTGGTGAGATAAGTGACCCAGGCATGGTGGCATACACCTGTAATCCTAGCACTTAGGAGGCTGAAGCAGGAGGATCACGAGTTTCAGGCCAGTCTGAGCTACATAGCAAGAGCACCCTGCCTCAAAAAAACCAAAACAAAAGCCAGGCATGGAGGCACATCCTTGTAGTCCCAGCACTTTGGAGGCTGAAACAGGAGGATTGCCATGAGTTCAAGGCCAGCCTGGGCTACATAGTGAGTTCAAGGACAGCCTGAACTACATAGTGAAACCATGTCTCAAAAAGCAAACCAAACCAAGATAAACCAAACCAATACTAAACAAAACCATTGGTCAAACCATATAGGTTAAAATTTTTGCTCCACCATTAAGAAGTCATGTCACCTGGGACAAGTTATCCCACCCCTGTAAGACTTGGTTTACTTACCTGCAAAAGAATCACAATAATAATGTATATTCATAGGCTTATTGAGATTCAATAAAGTACCCAACATAATAATTAATAGTGTATGATAGGTGCTTAATAAATGTTCATATAAAATTTCCTGCTATTGCCGTCATTGGTTTTTGGTGTTATAGTCCATGTCATTTGATGTTTTCCTAGTACAGAGGCTTTTTAAAAAGGAAAGAAGGGAACAACATTAAGTCTACTCTGTCCCATTCTCTCCAGCACCAGGACAAGAAAGGAGTTAGGTCAGTGAATATGCTAAGATAGAAAGGCAGCCAAGAATCCCAGACTGTCAGGGACCTCCAATGGGATACTTACAAGAGGTAATGCTGAACTTCTGATTGTTTCATGTAATTTAAAACTTCTACCCTTGAGAAAGCGTTTAGAGGCTCCCAAATTCCTATTGTGCTTAACAGAGGAAATGGATCAAAAGGTGAAGTTGAGTTTATATACAACAATCTATGTATTACATCAAGAAATGAAAATTCTTTGACCATTCACTGACAACTAAAGCATGTATCTAAAAAAGCAAAGAAAACAGATTACCTCTGACAAGAGTGAAAGGTCATGGTCTTCATGAAGTTTGATTTCAATAACTGGCTATGACTTCAGTGCAGTTGAGAAATGGATGCCATTCAAGTGATCTCTGTGGTTGGGAAGCCAGGATTTTTGGCCCTCTATCCCATAAGTGCAATTCTTTATAATGAAGGTTCTTGTTCTGACAACCTGACAAAGCTAAGTTAAAAACTGAAAATTAGTATTGGCAAGTTAATAGTTCTTTCCCATCCAAGTACTAACCAGGCCTGACCCTGCTTAGCTTCAGAGATCAGACAAGATCAGGAACGTTCAGGGTAGTATGGCCGTAGACGATAGTTCTCTATGGATCCGTAAGTGACTAGATTTAGCATCAGATAAAAACAAATGCAGAAGCAGAGAATGCAGAACACAATTTCTGCCAGGAGAATAAGAATGAAGTGAGGACAATTACAGGACTAACATCAAAGACATGTATGACACAATCCCTGGGCTTAACATTTTAGTCTTTGATTATCTTTCCTATTTTGAATGAGTTTCAACACACATTGATAGGTTGTAGATTACCTTTTTTATGGACTGTTGGTTTTAATTTTTGTCTTTAAAATAATAAATTTGGGCTGGGGATTTAGCTCAGTGGTTGTGCCGCCTGCCTCACAAGCGCAAGGTTCCAAGTTCAATCCCAGGTACAAAAAATTAATAAATAAAATAAAATAACAGATTTATTGAAATATAGTCCATATATTATGCAACTCATTCATCTATAGTGAACAATTCAGTGTATTTTACTATATTCACAAATATGTACATCTATCACCACAATCAGTTTTAGAACATTTCATCAGCTCAAGAAGAAATTCTGTGCCCTTTATCTGTCAACCCTTGGCCTCCATTCCTCCCTTACCCGCAGCCTTAAACAAGCACTAACCTATTTTCTTTCTCTATATATTGATCTATTTGGGCTATTTCATAGAACGGGAATGAAAAGAAGATATTTTGGGACTGTTTTCTCCACTTATCATGTTTTCAAAGTTTATCTATGTTTTAGTATATATGACTGCTTCATTACATTTTATGGCAGAATAATATTCCTTTGTATGAATGTCATATTTTCTTTGCCCACTAATCAGTTGATAGACACTTAGATTGTTTCTACATTTTGGCTAAGTCAAATAATGCACAAATATTTGTATAGATGTATGTGTTCATTTGTCTTGGTAGATGCATGGGAGTGGAATTGACAAGTCATGTGGTAACTCTATGCTTAACTCTTTGAGGCACCATCAGATTGTTTTCCAAAGTGGCTGTACTATTTTAACTTCTTCCTCTGACTTCATTTTTCTTTTTCTATTACTTTTAGAACTGTTACAGTGCTGGTCAACATAATATCTAAATGAAAGCAAAAAAACTGGGGATTGGTGGCACACACATGTAATCCCAGCACTCCAGAAGGCTGAGGGAGAAGGATTGCAACTTTGAGCCCAGCCTGGCCAATTTAGCAACTCAACAAGACTCTGTCTTGTTGTTGACAGGGTTATCCCTTCTAAGAGAAGGGATGTGGATTGTAGCTCAGTGCAAGAGCCCTGGATTCAGTCCCCAGTATCTCAATCAATCAATCAATCAATAAACAAATAAAGACATAAATGGAAGCTCAAAATACAGTACTGGATTAGTCTCTGCATCAATTGTATCTACAAATAATTCTCCTTTAGAATAGATTCTGTTTTTACTTCCCCATCCATCTCAAATGTAAGTTAATTATCTAAAGTCAGTGAAAGACTATCTATAGCCAGTCACAGTAAATCTTGTGAAGATTCAACTAAGAATTGCCTCATCTTTTGTAGTAGCTCTGTGGGGTGTATTCACTTTCTTTACTTTGTTCTCAGAAATAAGTGGGATATGCACCAAGGACAAAACTTCTCCTTTAAACAGATGGAAAAACAAAAATGTAGGAAAATTTGTGACTTGCCCAAAGGTATACGTAAGTGGTGATGCCTGGCATAGTTTCACCTCTGTTAATCTCTTCCCTCAAGGAAGTTATAAACCAGTAGAAACAATAAGATCTCAAATTAATGACAACAATACAAGATGCATAGGCTATGAATCAGAGGGCTAATGAGACAAAATGTCATAAAAGAGTACAGCCTAATAAAGTAGCATGGTATGAAATGAAAGGACATGGAGATGAGGACACAGTGGAGAGAACGGAGGAACCCACATGGAATATTTCCTGAAGAAAATTGGAAAATACAAACAGAGGCAACTGTAGGAAATTTTCCATATATTTAGCCAAGTAGTAATAGAAGTTTGATTATAAATGCAGGATGAAAGAATCTGGTCTTTATTTAGGAGACAATAGAGGAAATTCAGCAGAAATTTTATCAGAGGATTTTCCTAGTCAATTTGGCATTATTTTGGTGATACGGGATAAAAAAAAAAGATTAGGAATGGGAATAGAAACACTATTTACTAGTTTAAAAGCCAGCAAAACAGCCCAAGTATAAAATTACAAATGTCTAAATTACAGGTTCTCAACCAGGGGATGTTTGATCTTCAGTAAACATTTGCAAATTCTAGAGTCACTCTTGGCTGTCACACAGGGGAGAGATCTATTTAGTAATATAATATAATTTGGATGGGAGAAGGTAAGAGGCCCAGCCCCCATCTCAAAGTGTATTTTCCTTACCTAGGGCCTGGCTAATCTGAATCTACCATGGCTTTTCTCAAGAAGTCCAGCAGCACATCACAGCTGCTCTAAAAGCTGGAAAACTACCATTTAGTAAAGAGGAGAGGAAAAAGAGCTCTGAGAACCAAGAAAGAACCAACAAGAAAAATAGAAATCAAAGAGAAACTGGAGAAACTGAAGACAATACACAGAAAAGAACAAAGCAGTGTGGAATGCTAATCCAGCTTCCAAGGAGGGCCATCAGCTCCTCGAACACAAGTTAAGTCCAGGGAGGGTCAGCACTCCCAGGGAAAAACAAGGGATCAGCAATACTAGTCCCCCTAAAAGCTCAAATTGTGATCTGCAAATATAGTGTGATATTTTACTCTGAAAGTGACTCCTCCCACATGGCAAATTAGATTTAGAAAAGAAACACACTGCAGCAACCACTGTATTTGGGAGTGATTAGTCAGGAGCCATTTAGTGAAGGGATTAATTATTTAAGACTGAGGGACTTGAGAATCTGAAATCACAGGACAACTATGCTTCAGGATTTCTAGGTATCACTCTGCCACAGTGACTAGTTAGAAGATGACCACAAGAGTCAATCACAGAGAGGCAGCCCTCTGAGAAGTTTAAACAGTGATAAGATCAGGTTGGGAAGAACATAGTGGTCTCGTCCTCAGGAGTGAGAAGCCAGACTAGTTACATGTAGTTTTCTGAGGGAGATGGATCTGAAAATGATGGCATTAAGTCCAGCAGACTGGTACACACACACACACACACACACACACACACACACTCTCACACTGCCTACTTCTGAGGCAGGAGATTAGGCTGTGGCAAACTGGCTAGGCAAGAAGGCATGATCTGTCAAACATAGATTTCCAGGACATATGCCCAGAAGAGTATCCAAAGCTCTGCACCTAGGACCAATCAGAAAATGCTATCTTCAATTTTTCTCACAAGAACCTAAGCAGGTTTTTGATAGGACACCCTAGATCTAACATCAGCCTGAGGAGTAGGAGATACAAGGACAGCTGCCACTGGGTTCTTCTCTCTTTCACAGTGGTCCACACTCACCCTGCAGGGTTTACTTCTATTCCTACTTTTAATTGGCCCAAACTTGCTCTGCAGAGCACATGTCTTTTCCTACTTTCAATAAATGTAAAACCTCCCTACATTTTGTACTGTCTTCACTAATTCTTTGTTCAGGACATAAAAATCCTAGAAAATATCTCTAGAATGAGACCCCAGAACACTCAGAACCCTGTAACACTTCCAACACAGAGCTAAGTGGTCTGTTTGCTTTCTCCATCTGCCAATGTGATCAGGAATACAGTAAATCCGATTCATTTGTAAATCTGACAAAGTGAGTCTTTTACACCTTTAACACAAATACAAAATGTATATTTCTTTGTGCTTCCTAGAAGCCTCCTCCAATGACCACTGCTTTTCTTCTTGCTTCCAGACATCCTTGGCTCTGATTTAGCACTGTACTACTGTACACTATGGCACTATACAGTAAACACACAACAACACAACTGTGACAATGTCCAGCAGATACGTGAACTACTTCTGCAATTTGTTCACATCTATGAATGTTTCTAATGCACAGTCTATTCATAGCTGTGGAAGTTTGCAACTCGAATATTCATAGGTCAAGAACTTATTGTACACCTAGACTTGGATAGTTGCCACACCCTGAGTTGTACAGACAGAGAGACCTCTGGAACAAGAGGGACACCTCACAAGCCCGTAGGTCATAAATTCACAAGATGTTTAGTGACCTAAAAGGGAATTTTACTAAACAGATAAAGGATTTTACAAATAAAATGGTCAATGAGTTTAAAGAACAAACAATATGAAGTTAAAACAATACATGATATGAATGGTAAGCTTGGTGAACAACTACAAATTATGAAAAGAAAGTAAGCAGAAATACAAGATATGAAAAATTCAATAGAAAGCATGGGCAGCAGATTTGACCAGTATGAGTACAAAATGTCAGAAATTGAAGACAAGATGAATGTAGTAGATCATAGATTCAATGATACCTGAAAAAATAACAAGACATCATGCAAGCTGAATCCAACAGCTGCTAGATCACTTTTTTTTTTAAAAAAAGAAATAACAAAAAACTAACATCAGAATTATAGAAAGGAAAAAATTATAAGATGACTCAAAATGTATAAAAATTATTCACTGAAATCAGCAGAAAACTTTCCAAACCTAGGAAAAGAATTCAATATTCAAATACAAGAGACATATAGAACCCCAAATATCTACAACCAGAAAACATCTCCACAACATATCACAATTAAGATTCTAGAAATTTGACAAAAAGAGAGAGTACTACGCTCTGATAATGAAAAACAAAAATTTACTTATAAAAGCAATACTATCAGAATAACAGTGGGCTTCTTAGCACAAACCTTAAAGGCCATGAGATCTGGCAGTGAAGTTTTTTAAGCCTTAAAAGAAAAGAATTTTCTATCTAGCCTTCCATGACCTACAAAATTAGCCTTCAAAATTT